TTTTTTATTAGTACATTAAATACATCCCTATGTATGATTGCAAATAAAGATTGGAAACCTCAGAAGAACATGTTCGTAACCTTGACATGAAATAGGATTATTCTTGAATATCCCCTTAGCTTTTACTATTTTTGAATATCACCTCTGAATGATAATACTTACATTGGGAGATGCTTTTCTAGTACAGTGGCAGTGATACTAGAAAAGAAAACATATACAGGAGAAATGCAGCTAAGCACCTGACTATCAGTTGCTAGGTAATATGTATGTATAGGTGTGTGGATTAGCATTCTCCTATTTTTGGCTTTTTGGAAGCATCTCATTAGCTGCTATGGGAACAAAATCCTGAAATAGGCAATTTTGATTTGATTCAGCTGAACCTTTATATTATAACAGAGATTTATGATATTATAGTATAGGTATTTTTTATTTTGAGGAAAGAAAGTAAGAAGGAGGAAGGAGAACCTAGACTGTGAAAAACAAAGATCCCTGCAGTATTGCAAGCATAGACAACTGAGCATCTCAGACATTTTACATTCTTCAGTCACAACCAGTATGGGCAGTGCCAAGTATTGTGGGAACTTTCATTAAAATGTTTGTAACAGATATCTTGACTTATAGAAACATGGAATTTTGATTTTGTTTATTCAAATCTTCTCACATCAAAGTCTCAAGTCGTTATAAACAAATATAACCTGTTCTCCTTTCTCTCCCTCCCCTCATCTTGCCCTTCCCTCTTTTTTTGATCCATTCCTAAACTACTCACCATCTTATTTCTTACTATTTCTGATCTTGACAATTGTGATATATGCCTCCTGTTTGACTTTTCTTTCCTTCTTTTTGCAATGTATCTTCTCTGTCCGTCTTTGTCTTTTCACATCTATTGATGTTTTCAACTAAAATGTGTATGTATGTGTGTGTGTGTGTGTGTGTGTATATATATTAACCTGATCTGTGACTTATTTTCTGCCTTTTGCCTTGCCTGTCCTGATGAGGTATATGGCCTATTGTAACCCTTCCACATCATGTTCTTTTCTGCTTCTCCATCCTAACTTGTTGCTTTCTTGCCTTAATGGCAATTTTTAAAATTTCTTTTATCTCGGCTTTCATGTCTGGTGTTTGTGAGGTGCTGGTCTTCTCTTTCTGCATTTTGCTGTTCAATTACACTGCTGTTTGTCTCTGTCCTCCATGGCATTGTCCACCTGAACTCAAACTCACCATAAAGTCAAGGATGTGGATGGAGTCCTCTGCCGGTATAAAAAGATCCTGTACACTTTTCAGAAGATGCAAAGCATGAGTCGGGCCTTTGAATATCATCGGGTGGATCGTAACACCGTGGCGTTGACCACCCCCATAGCAGAGCTCCTTATTGTTGCTCCTGAAAAATTGGCTGAAGTGGGTGAGTTTGACCCATCTAAGGAGCGTCTGCTTGAATATTCCCGACGATGTTTCATGGCACTAGATGACGAGACACTCAAGAAAGTCCAGGCCCTCAAGAAAAGCAAGCTTCTGCTGCCCATCACTTACCGCTTCAAGACAAAAACAGACTCTCCTGCGTCAGCTGCTGGCAACTCTGTCCCCTCTCCTGCTGCGCCACCCAAGCATCTTCTGCCAGTCGCTGAATGCTACAAGCGATGAATCCTCTCCTGGTGCTACTGCCAGAACCTATTTTGCCAGTCCTTTGAGCTCTTTCTCTGTACCTTCTGCCCCCTCCAATCCCATCCATTACTCACCAAACTCAGTATTTCTTGGAGTTTTCTACCGTGATGCACAACCACCTCCCACATTTTCCTAGGTTTAAATACTGAATGAACCCACCTTTTCACAGTGTATCTTTACAAAAAGGGTCTGGGAGTAGTTTCCTAGGATTATTACTTGACTATAGATCTGCCTATCTATGCTTCCCTCTTTAAAGGCTTCCTCACAGCTACAGGATTGCTTTCATTCTTCCTCCTTCCACCTGAGTTTGGCCAGAGGAGAAACAATGGCAAAGGTGGAGTTAACATACATAGGACCCATCCCACAATAAATAACATCACGGATAAACTAGTTGTAATTGCCCAGGTTAACTTGAAACACCTAGCCTTGTTGGTTTATTAACAGATGGTAATTATAGCCTTGCACATAAAATATAAAGCCAAACAGTTTTAAAATAAACTGTCATTTGGGGTACATCAAACAAATGATATAAGATGGTAAAGTTTGCAAAAATATCTCTGTCAGCAGTAGCATGTTGCCAACATTGCTGGTTAGGCTGATTTGGTGTTAAGGATAACCATCTAATAGTTAATAGTAGGTCAGATGACAGTAACCTAAGGGAGAGGAGTTGCTTCAGTGAGAGCCAAATCACTGTAACCAACAGAAATTATCAATTTCTAAACTGAAAGAGGGAAGATAGGCATGATGCACTTCTATAGTTTTACCTCTCCTTTCTTGAAAATATTTTCGGTGTTTTCTGAGCTGTTAGCAGGTCCTATTGTTAGTGTATCAATCCCCCTTTTTTGCTGCTGTTGTGGTTATCTTTATTCCATTTTGGCTGCTGTTGTGGTTATCTTTATTCCATTTTCTCTACAGTGTTACTATGATTGGAAGAATTGTCGAATTGAGCTGTCTCTGCTTTCCCATTTTCTCCAAAAGATATTCTCACATCCTGAGCCCCTACCACCTTTTTTACCTTAGTTTTGGAAGGTATTGCTTAAACCTTTTCCCTAGCTATTGTCCTGCTCCAAACCCTCAATTGGATTTTTCTGCTAGCAATTTTATACCCCCACCCCCACCCCAATGTTAGTGAGGAAGTGTGCTTCAATGCAAGGACTTGAATTATATGTTGCATTCCTTGAGGGTGCTTTATTTTTATTCAGTGTAATTAGAAGATTATTCCCACTGTGCCTGTAATTTCTTTCTCTCCAATGCTTTTTCTGTATTAAAAAAGAAATTAAAAAGAAAATATGGTATTAAACATTTTATTAAAACACAATTTAAATTAAAGAGAACATTTTGGTATAACATTCTGCATAATGTATTTTTTTACATAACCTTGTATAACATTGCAAAATGGGGCAAATGTATGAACTATTAGAGTGAAGAGATCCAATTTGGATTACATTTGGACTTGTTCAGTTGGTTTTCCCTTGGTAAGATGGGAGTACTAGTTATTTTTCAGTTCTATTTGTATAAGAATGAGATTTAAAAGTGTATAATAGTGTATATGTAACTTCAAAGTTTCCTAAAAGAAAATGTTTAAAATGAGAGCACAATTAAGTTCAACAGACAATTTGCAAATAAATGATGCGTTAGAACAAAAGAAATAGATAATGCTTTTGAATTTGCTATAAATTCATAAAGAAATGGGGAAACTTTCATGTTGATAAAATTAAACTTGGAGGATGTGAAAGTACAATCCTCTTAAGAAAATATGCAGGAAAATGCACCATAAGGGTAAACCTACAGGGTGGTGCTGTAAGGTAGACAAAATTATGCTAGATTGTCAGGGAAAGACATAAGTTTCACAAACTTCAGGAACATGTCTGCTCCCCTTCAAAAATATAAAAACAATTGGAAATGTTGATGTTACCTAGTTAGAGTAATGAAACCTCTGCAAATAAACAAGCAAGCTCAGAACACCAAGAAATCAGTAATTATCTGTCTATAGTATTAGCTTGTGAAAAAGGGAAGATAACAATGCTCTTTATATTAGAACATTTGCCCTAGAAAGAATACTGTTTATGAATTATTCCTATATTACAAGTATTTTGATAAAAGTTCAGTGCCACCTGGTAACATGAATACAAAAATCTACCAGGTGTGCATTGTCTACATTTTAATTTCCCATTCTTGTCTGTGATATATTTAAACAAGAGTTTATTGAATGAACCAAATTTTTTGGAGTTTGCATGGTCCTCAAAAGCAACACACCTGTGGTTTTTTTTTTTTTTCATATAACATGATTTAGTATGTCCTGAAAATTTTGCTGCATCCATGCAGCATGTTAAGTATGTTCATCTTTTCTAACACTACAGTATACTATGCAAGACCAGCATGTGAAATTATTCAGAGTTTAGTATATTTCACAAAAGAAAAAAAAACTCAGTCTTCTATTTTGTATATTGACATCGAGAGCTCAGGCACGGTCACTTACCACCTGCTAGATTAGCAAAAGTGTTCCCAAACAGATCATCCAAATGTTGAAAATGCTAACAAAAGCAAGGAACATATTACCATGCATGGTGAACATGCCCTGTAGCGAGAAAATATTGGATAAGGACAAAAAAAAAATGGATAGAAAAAATAATTAAACAGCAAATTGAATTAAGACCGGAGACCTTTCCATTAGGTATAATAACGGGAAAATATAATAAGAAAATTTAATGCTACATTTATTAACAGCAGCAAGAATAACTTATGCACAGAATTGGAAAAATGATAGTATGCCACCAGAGAAAAATGTGGTAAGAAAAATACTAGTGTGCCAAGATGAGTAAGTTGATCAGAGAAAGGTAAGAGCGGAAACACATTATTTGACGTGGAATGTACTATATGATTGGTTAAATAATAGATATAGAGTTGAATAGAGAAGCTAATAAGATAAGAAGGTAAAAGATATAATGGACAAAGATAGATTAAGCAGCATAAACAAGTGTATAGATAAGGATTTATGTAAAAGTATGTATACGTCATGAAAGCATAATGAATGGAAATGATGTATATAAGAAAAAATGTTTAATAAAAATTATTTTTTTAAAAAAGATCAGCCATCGCACAGGCACTCAAAAAATTCCCCAGGACGCACTTGAGCAACATCCGGCGGAAATACTCGACCTTTATTTTTAAGAAGCCATGGCTTTTGTGTGTGTGTGTTTTAAGCGGGAATACAAAGGTATATGCGTCAAGCGACCGTAAGATTTTAAGACGAAGGAAATGACGTTACAAAGAGTATAAGAGTCTCTCCGTAGGAATCCGAAACTTTCCTAGAGAGGCAGGGGAACTAGGGAGCGGGAAAAGCCAACCACTAAAAGGCATTCCGGAGATAGCCGAGAATTTCCGTTCGCATCCGAAGCACTCACCGGAAGTTGCCGAACTCCCAGAAAAGGCGCTGTTGCGGCCTACTGCGTGAGGAGGAGCTGAGCTAGCAGGCGCTACCACCGTACAACCGTAGCTAGGCCGGGCCAAGGGACGTCCTCTTTCCTTCTCCGCAACCATGTCGGACTTCGACGAGTTCGAGCGGCAACTAAATGAAAACAAACAAGGTAAGCAAGCGTGGTTGGAGGCAAGCAAGTCGGCCGAGGTTCAACGCCAGAGGGAGAAAAAGAAGTACGAGGTGGTGGCGGCAGCGCCGCCTCTCCCCTTTCACCGCTGGCCGTTCCGTTCTTCACACAACTGGTTTTCGACGCGGCCCATCGGCTGGCCCCCGTTTAAGAGAAGGGCTGGGAATCCTCGTGCACTCGGACGCCTCCTTTATTAGATCTATATCATCCCCCGCTTTCCACCTAATTTGGCGCGAGTCTGAAGTTCGGGCGGGGGGAGGGGTAGGAGGCGAGGCCGCGCGCCCCGAGACCGTTGACGGCGGAGCGCGCGGCGTGCGTTTAAAAAGGGAAGCGGGGGGGGGGGGAAGGAAGGGGTGTGGGGGGGGGGGGGGGGGAAACTGCCCAGTTTTGCGGGATTGCGGGGTGGCGGGGTCTCCAGGGTTGGAGAACGCACGTGGTGCACCCCTCCCCTTCCTGGGGCCGAACGGGTAGGCGAGGCAGGTATTTCGGAAGGACGCGTCCCCGCCAGGGCGGAAAAAAGGCGAGCCGCGGAGCGTGAGGGATTAGCTGCAAGTTTGGCGAAATCTGCTGGGCCGCTTTTCCTCGAGCGCCATGGTGGAAGGGAAGCGAGTGTTGGCCTGGCTTCCTAGGCCCGGGGGAAGCTGCTTTTTTACTAAGGCCATGTGGCCTGACGGCTCAGCTGTAACAGGATACCAGACTTGGAAGGGACCTTGGAGGTTTTCTAGTCCAACCCCCTGCTCAAGCAGGAGAAGGTATACCATTTCAGACAAAAGGTTCTCCCGTTTTATGCAAAGAATGTGATATTAAAACAAAAAAGGATCCCATCTTTGGATTTTGAGGCAGCAGCATGAGTAGGCCCATATTCGCCCAGCAGGGGGTTGAGTGTGTGGGATCTATCATGGCACAACTTATTATTTTTCACCAGGGTTAAACTGGATGGTTCATGTCCAACCTCACCTTGTGGCTGTCTTTCCACAATTTGAATAATTAGCCACAGTTTAAGGCATCAATTCCATCTGGATTTGATTTACACAATATGCCATAAATGCTGTTCCAAAGGGGGGGGGGGGTGTTGCGCCTTCGAGTTGGAGATGCCAGAGGTTTAAACTTAAGAAAAATTGTACAATATAGACAGTTCTTAACTAACAATCACAAGTGAGCTCAAAAAGTCAGTTAAGGCAGTTGTTAAAATGAGTTTTGCCTCATTTTATGACCTTTTTTGTCACAGCCAAGCGCTATCTCTGCAGTTGTGGTCATGAAGCGATTTTGGCTTCCCCCATTGACTTTGCTTGTTGGAAGACGGCTGGGAAGATTACAGATCGTGATTGCATGACCCCAGGACAATGCAATGGTCATTGACTAGCCTAATCCAAATATTTTAATTGATACAAGGAAACCTGTACTGTAAAATATTGTTATATAGTGTTTTCTGAAAAGAATATGCATGTTATATACAAGTAGCCTTCAACTTACAGCTATTCATTTAAGGCCATTCTAAACTTCAATGCCATTAAAAATTGGTCATATTTTTTTTTAAGAGGCACTGAAACTTGGAATAGTCACCAATGAATGGTTGTAAGTTGAAGACTTATACAACATGTGTATGCTTCTTCCAGAAAAGACTATAATATCTTAGGGGTTTCCTTGTATCAGTCAAAAAAAATATTTGGATTAGGTTACAATACTGTATTCCTGATTTTACTCCCTACTGATAATACCTATTTCTGTTCAGTGGGAATCACAATAATTCACAGACTCCTAGGCCAAATTTGTTACATACTGCCTGGTTGATAGCATTGAAGCAAAAGATAGGCTGTAGTTCTAAGAATGCAAATTGTTCATGTTCTATTTTTCAGAGTATAATTCAGAGGCTGCCTCCCTGCTCTCCAGAATGGATTTCCTTTAAAATAAATCAATTCCACCCTTTCTGAAAGTACAAACATCCATGGGTTTTTTTGGAATTCAGTCCACTTTTTAAAACTGTATTGGATATCTTGGGTATACCAAATGAAAGAAATGTGTGTCCTTGTTTAAGCTTTCTTGACAGTGAAACCAAGGCATAAGAATGTTTTGAACTGCAGGTCTAATGATAACGCTAGACCCACCAGTAGTTTGGGTTATATGACTAATATATAGAAATAGAAGAGAAGGCATCTTTCAAAATGATTTTGTTTGATTAGATCCTTAGTTAAAACTGAAGCTTCCCTGTTTTACTTCCATTAGGTGTTTCTGCTTTGCATGAATGTTTTCGACTATGCTTGTTACCAATGAATCTTAAAACAGTTGGCCACACAAATAACAATTTGTTCTTGTTCTAAACATTGTTTGTGTCCAGCACAGCTGCATTAGTTTTCTCCAGTCTTCAGAACGGTTCTTTGTTTAAGATCTATTGTTTTGTATCTAATTCTGTTCCATATCATGCCTATAATAGGTCATGTAGTAGTTCAGAACTATTAGAATGTACTGTTAGTTTTGTCAAAATAACAACCTGCATTCTTGCAATTATAGCTATTGATATATTTTAGAAGCAGAGGGCATATAATTTGATGCACTTTTTCTCGTGTTTTATTTGTTTTTTTACGTAGGGTTTGTGTTTAGAAGTCTCAAAAATCTGGGCAGAATTACGCCCACATTTTCATCACTGTTTTTTTTAAATAGAAAACAAAGACTACTTGGTTTTGATTTAAATTAATTAATTAAATTGTTGACACCATATTTTATTTAGTATCTCATTTTTTGCTGGGAATATGTTGCAAAAATCTCATGGAGAATAATTTCGTGTGTCTCAAGGTATGCATCAAGGATTTCCAAATTGGGCTATACAAACATTCTGCTTGCTAGATTTGGAGATAAACTTTGAGATTGTTGCGTGATATATTAATGTTGAGAAATTCTAAAACAATTTATTATCCTATCTCTACTTCTCCCTTTGTTGTTGCTATTTTCCAAAAGCAATTAAGATAATTCCAGGTGGTTATACAACAGACATGATCCAATCATGGTATCAGTTTCTTCTTGGCACTATTTCTTTTCCTCAGTATTCTCCCTTGAAAGTAAACAAAAAAAAAAACCCAATCAAACCCCCTTCCCCCACTCATTGTTTTAGGAAAATGAAATGATGTGTGGCAACCGGAGATATATTCTCTGTTCTGAACCAACAAGCTCACTGTGTTCTATCCTGTTGCCTTTAGAACGTGATAAAGAGAATCGTCATCGTAAACGCAGCCACAGTCGTTCACGGAGTCGGGACAGGAAACGTCGCAGTCGTAGTCGGGACAGGCGCAACAGGGATCAGCGCAGTGTTTCACGAGATCGCAGGAGGCGCAGGTACGGATCCACAACAAGATATTTTTATATTGAGTAGAGAATCTAGGGCAAAACCTCAGAAACATTTATTCTTTTGCCATTCAAAATTATGCAGAATAGTGATTTTTGTGAAAATTAAATTTAGAGAGATTTTTTTTTACACTCTTTGAGATCAGAATAATAATATTGCCTAATAATCCAGATCACTAGAGACCAAAAGTCAATAATTTTTGTAATATTGGCAAGTGGATCTAATTAATTATCATTGGAAATGAATGATTATTCAGTTATTCTGCTGAAATTAATTTTTTTAGGAAAGCGTTCAAGAATAGCCAAAATGAAAATAGTTATGTCAGAGCTTTATGAGAACGTGCTGAAATTGCATGTAGCCAGTATGTCCTGTTAGTTATATACTGTATCCTTTCTAGTCTTGCCAACTATTTTGTCTTTGCATGTTGGGTGAGCTGGAAAATGAACTTCAGGAGACTAAAATAAAGGAACAGCAGAGAAATGGAATACAATACATTAGGTTGTTTTTTTGAAGTTAGCTTTTTTTTTACCACATCTTTTTTGTAAAACGTGGGATAGAAAGCCAACAGATTGCTTTATAATTACATTACTAGTTTTTTCCTCCTTGTCTTTAAACGTCTGTTTCCTTGGCCACTAGGACTATTGCAGTCTTTTGCTGTATCTTTACCTTAAAGATTATCTACAACATGTCCTACAAGGTCCCTTCCAACACTGTTCTATGTGATTGAAACAGCTTTATTAATTTAGGTTTGAAAACCCTGGAATTTTATCATTATTGATAATCAAACACTCTTCTTACTAATTAATATCTGACATCTAAGGTCCTTAGTGATGAATACACATGACCTAGGTATTTGTGCCTGGGCACTTTTTAAACCCAGTTAGAAATGTCATATACCACAGTAATAAATGAATAAAGTTCTTTCTGGAACTTTTTTTCTTAGACTCCTCATTTGTGTAACCTTGGTTACACCTCTGCTCATGGATGCAAGGTTGACAAAGTTATGAAATTAATAATTATTAAATCTCTGAATGTTTTCTGGGGTTGCTTTAAACAGGAAAGGACACCATCCCATTTCATTTTTCTTTTTCAGATCTCCTCTGAGCCTGTCAGGTCCTCTAAGGTGAGCATTGCCAATTCTTGGTGCTGGCAGGGGCAACAAAAAGCCATGGGAGGCTTCACTTAAAAAAACAAACCCTAAAATTAAGGGGAAAAATGCAAGAATCAGAATTCATTATTGGGATTGTTGCATTATAAATATTGACCATGGATATTATGGAATATCCCAACGGGAATAAGCATAGGCGTAAATAGAAATTCATTTTAATTTTAAGACTACAGTAAATTAAATGTTTTTTCTTCTTCCTACTGACCTTTTATTCTTGCTCCCTACTACAGTCGTTCTCCTCGGCATGAGAAGAAGAAGAAAATTCGCAAGTATTGGGATGTCCCTCCTCCAGGTTTTGAGCACATTACACCCATGCAGTATAAAGCCATGCAGGGTAGGCTCCTCTTTGCTTAAGTTACCTTGATCTGCTCAGTTTTACAACAGGGATAGGCAGCTTGCATAATTTAAAAAAATCTTCTAAAGCAAGCAGTTGTGATTTCTCTCTGGTAACATTTTTGTCCCTTCCATGGTAGTTTGAATAATGGGCAGGTCAGTAATAGAGAGCATAAGAGACCCTATTCATCAGTTGACTCATTGCACATCCACCTTGAATGGCCTCCCCTAGTATCTCATATATCTCTCATCAAAACATGTCTCACCAGTCCCTGTAAGGCTTGCTATTGAGTTAACATCCATTTGACTATCAGTATATTGTAGCTTTCATTGGTGGGTACAGATTTTCTATCTCATTCCTTTTACCAGTCTTTGAATTTGAGTTACAAAATTTGAGTAACAATAATTATAGTTGTGGCCCTTCCATCATATTACAAACCATACATAAAAATACCATAATGAGAATTTAAAATGGGGGTAATAATTTATTACATTAATAAGCTGTCTGGCTATCAGCAACTCTTAGACATTTGTAAATTTTAGAAAGATTTAAAAAGTAGACATACCGAAACAATATGAAACAGAAGAACAGAGGTGGCAGGCAAAATAAACCTGAATGGGAACAAGTAAAAAAAAAAAAAAAAAGGATGTCAGTTGTCCTTGCCTGGGTGAACAATCATGTGCAATAGATGATTTCTGAAATGTGCCTATGTGTCACAACCTCACAAGAGTGCATAGGAGCTAAAATAGTATGTCAAACTATAAACCCTATTAAATGTCAATTGAAGGCATATCTGCTTCTTCCTGCAAGTCATAGCCACAAAATTGATTTAAGAATAAGCACGTTTTAAACTGCTACTTCTGGATTTTATTAACCACAGAGCTTAACCTAAAGGTTGTTCTGTGGTTTTTGTGACAAAACCTCTAGGTTTTACTAATCATAGACCAAATCCATATTTATTTTTAGCAGCAGAACTGTATAATGTTAATAACCTTAAACCACAGGCTGGCAGTTCTGTGACTGCTGCTTAGAAAGGAGAGGCAGTGAGCATGAGTGAACTAGTGTGATATAATGGTTAAAGTGCTGGCCTGGAAACCAGGAAACTCTTTGAGTTCTAGTCCCACCTTAGGCATAAAAGCTGGCTGGGTGATTTTAGGTCATTCATTCTCAACCCAACCCACCTCACAGGGTTGTTGGGAATATAGGAGGAAGGAGTATTAAGTATGTTGGCTGCCTTGAGTTTCTTATGAAGTAATAAAGGTGGGATAAAATCTAAATAAATAAATGAACATATGATTTTAAAGGCATAAATGTTATTGAAAAGGGTCAGCCTAGGAGTTTTCCAATTTGACCTTATAACAGCTGTATAACATCCATGTTGTGATCAGAATGCTGTATTTCAACTTGGGAACATTTTCTGTGTATCTGATGCATTTTGGATTGATGGTTTACTACGCATAATGAATAAAAAATAGCTGTGATCTTTGCTGGTGAATGGGTAGTTATTTTTTGCTGATGAAATAATAAAATTAACATTTTATGTGTTTAGAAAAGTATTTGGATTGCTTGTTTCCTTCATTCCATATATGTTTTAATAACACGTTAATTCTCATTGTTGCCACAGATTGTTTAGGGCTCTTCAAAATGTTCCGACTCCAGAATAAGCTACTCTGAAGTGCTCTATCTTCAAAACAGATTTATTTTAAGCCACTTCTGTAGCCCACAAAATGGGGCTGTTTGGGGTTGACATGTTTCATAATGGAACATTTTGCACATCCTTAATCCTATGTATGTATGTCATCAAGACTTTCCCAATATATAATGTTTTTATCAGGAGAATCAGAGCTGGTGACTTTCAGTATACTTTTCCCCTCCCCCCATTTCTAGCTGCGGGACAAATTCCAGCTACAGCTCTACTACCAACTATGACTCCAGATGGGCTGGCCGTAACACCTACACCTGTGCCTGTAGTCGGCAGCCAAATGACACGACAAGCTCGTCGTCTCTATGTTGGGAATATCCCTTTTGGAATAACCGAGGTACTTGTTAGCTTACTCTGTTATCTCTGCCTTAAAACTTTTGGCTGCAACTAATGCTCAATTTCAGTGATACCACCAGAAAAAGCAGCCTGGTTTAGTATTTGTTTCTTCTTTTTTATTTTTAAAGAGATGGTGGTAAGAATAGAAATGGGAGTGCCTCACTACCCAGAAGAATTCCACTTTCACTTCCAGTCTTATTTTGCCATTTTGGATCAAAAACTACATATTTGACATTTTGCCATTAAATTTGAGGGGTTTGCAAAGGGAATACTGGAGGTTTAAGTTGGGAAAGCCAACTGCAGCCATTCTCAAACTGTTATTATGACTTGGCATCTTAAATGACTCATATTTGATAGTTACAAATTTTTGGCGTACTTTTTGTGGTGTTTTTCATCCATAAATCACATGAAATGAATTTTTGCTCTCCCTGAATATACCGATGGGAATTGTAGCCAGATTGAAAGGATATTCTAAATATTCTTTCCTGTCAGATCATGTCTTCTCCCCACACGTTTTAGTGTTTGTCTTTAAAAAAAAAGTTTGATTTGGGGTTACTGCTATCCACATTTTTGAGGTTGCAATAGAGACATATCCATCCTTTATGCTAGGGCCGAAATTGCTTATGATGGCTTGAAGCTGTGCTGATCATAGAGAAAAAGCAGCTCAACCTTTTCTCTGTCATACAGATAAGAGGATGCTGTTTTCAAAGTCCATTTCTTGTTTTTCATTCATTATGAGGGCAAAGTGACTACATTGAGTCCGTGAATTGCTCAGTTTACTATAATATCCCTTCTTGGGGCATCTTCTAAATTTGTCTTGTACAGTTGATATTTACATTTGATCAACATGGTTGGACTGAAGAGGTGAATTCTGATTTAGACCTTCAGATATGGGAATGGGGCATTATTTCATTTCATTAAATTTGTTGTGGCGCTCTGGGCAGCAGCATATTTTATTTGCAGTTCTGACTGTAGCTCAGTGGTGCTTATATCTAATAGAGGGAGATGTATTAAAACCTAAATGACCAGAAAAATAAATATGGTTGCTTGTTATTTAATTATCCCTACCAAAAAGAAAAAAAAGACCAAAGAGTTTTCCATTTCTCTTTAAGTGAATAGTGTATGGGACTGCAATCCTCATAGCTTCACAGTTTGCTACCATCATAGCAGGCAAGTAGGAAATGTTGTTTTGTAATCTATTTGTGATCCAGATTGCCATTCCAGCTTGTATCATACATCTACTCTTTGCATCTCTTTCCATTCCAATAGGAAGCAATGATGGATTTCTTCAATGCGCAGATGCGCCTTGGTGGTCTTACTCAGGCTCCTGGTAATCCTGTCTTGGCTGTGCAAATTAACCAGGACAAGAACTTTGCTTTTCTAGAGGTGAGTTTATAGAGACTCAGGACAGGTTCAAAGCACCACTGATTTACTCGCATGATTATGATTCTGGAGAAATCAAAGGAAATGCATAAAATTGTTTGCTTCATGTAAATTTATTGGATGTTCAAAATATAACATAGTTGGCCCCAATCCGTGAATTCTAAAGCTTGGCTATGTATGAGGCTGTATAAGAGTTATTCTCTTTTTGTATGTTTGATCATGATCTTAGGCCACAACTGTGAAATTGATGGTGTAAGGTTAATCCAGCTTGCTGCAAGTTAATAGATTTAATTTAAATGCTAAATTCAGGTTTTAGAAAATATTTCTATAGAGTAATGTGATAGTAGGAGAGGAAACATTTGCGATAATAATTTATGCAAATGTTGAAAAACCAGATGGAAAGATATCCATTCTTTTCCAATGTATGAAATAGAAAAGCCAGGAGACAATGGGATTGACCTTTATTGGATGCAGGACATTTTAGAAATAGTAGTGCCTTGCTTATTTGTTCAGTTGACAATTTCTTTTAATAGCATTGTTTTCTAGAATTTGGGACTAATTTAAGCACTCCAGTTGTGCTGCAAACTTGTTTCATTATTTAATTATTCTAATTCAAAGCATCTCTTGCTGATGCTATCCTTTGCTCAATGTCTGCATTTAATTGAACAGTAAAACATGGAATTTGTACAAACAGGAAAAAAGTTAATATGAATTAGATTGTACGCCATGCATTAATGGATAGGAGGTAGAAGTAAAAAGTGGAATGGATGGCTTGTAGAAACAAACTCTCCCTCTCCCCAAATAAATAATTTTGTAGACCTTAAAGGTGAAGAAGTTGAATTGTTTGAAATCGTAATCTTGATAAATATAAATATGTATTTAAATATGAATTATCAGCCCCAAGAGTATTATGAACAATTTTTAATCTTCTAAACAGGGATGTCAAACTCAAAGCCCACAGGTGCTTAGATATGGTCCATGTGGACGCTCTTGAAACAGCTAAGGATCAGCCCACGGTGCCTCTGCCAGGGAAAACAGCACTCAGGAGGGCCATAGGCGGTCCTTCCAAGCTCCATTTCTGGTGGCAGAAGGTTACAGGGTGCTGTCACAGCCAAAAATGGAGTTTGGGAGTCCATTTTTGGTGGCAGAGTGCATAGGCACCCCCAACACAAGTAATGTTGAGCTGGCCACACTCAACCTGAGCCCCCGAGGTCAAACAACCCTGATGCAGTCCTCAATGAAATTGAGTTTGACAACCCTGTTTTAAAATGTTCGTTAGAATAAAAATGCTAGATATGAGGTAGTGGTTATATGAGGTTTTGATTCTATCTGACAGTTTCTTAAGCTGCTTTGACTTCTAACTTCATATTTTTTTGGTATTTTTATCTACTCTTAATGCTTTGTGGATAAATACATAAATCTCCACTTCAGCTCAGGGCATGTCTCCTTGGGTGTATAAAATAATAGCTTCCTTGTTCTAAGTATTCTACAATCTGGAAGATTATTGGTGCGAATTTCAGTCCTTGTAAATTTTGCAAGACATGTACATTGAACTGTAAAGAGTCTACTGTTTTCATAATTGGGCACTGATCATGTAACCTTATATAAATCTATAGTTTAATTAGAGATGGCTATTTTGCTTTTTGTTTCCTGGGTAGTAGTAGCCATATATTCTATAAGAGACAAATGATACTGATTTTACCCATCCCCCCCCCCTTTTCTGCTCCAGTTCCGTTCTGTGGATGAAACTACACAGGCCATGGCTTTTGATGGGATCATTTTCCAGGGACAGTCACTGAAGATCAGACGCCCCCATGATTATCAACCGCTTCCTGGCATGTCTGAAAACCCATCAGTTTATGTGCCAGGTGGGTTTATCAGACTTTTGGTGAAAAAAAAAATGATGATTATATAATATACAAGGAGGGGAAAAATTAGCAATGTTGTATGCAGCGTATGGATAATTTCATGTATTTGCCATGTCGACCCACTTCCTTCTTATAGGTGTCGTTTCCACAGTGGTCCCAGATTCTGCTCATAAACTGTTCATTGGGGGTCTGCCAAACTATCTTAATGATGATCAGGTCAGTCTCGGAATATGACACAATTCAGGATAACATGGGCAAGTGATTCATTCTCCATTCTCCTTAATTTTTAACCAGCTGGGACATGTTTCATATTCAGTGTAATTCTTCGTTAATAGCCAATTTGATCTAGCATTTTATGGGAAATCCTTCTGAAGCATCTACTAATTTTAATAACCTCACAAAAGCCAGATAAGTCTTTAAAAACTAATTTAATTCTTCACAATACCATGCTACTTTGAAGATTTGGCTACTACTTGGTGTGATGATAATCATTGACATTGTTTCTTCCTTCTCCATCAGGTCAAGGAGTTGCTCACTTCCTTTGGGCCCCTGAAGGCTTTCAACCTGGTGAAGGACAGTGCCACTGGCCTTTCGAAAGGTTATGCCTTCTGTGAATATGTGGACATCAATGTCACAGACCAGGTAAGGCCAGCCTCCCTTGTTCATCCTCTTCATTTTTGCTCTGCAGCAGCCCGCCGATCTTCCCGTGGGATATGGGGGGGTTCTTTGTCCTTTGAGCAGGTGGGGTGTTTTTTTCTCTCCTCCTCCCCTCTAGGGGGTGCCAGCTTTTCTCTCCTTTACAGCACAGCTGCTGACTTAGCGGCAGACACCATCGAGTTAGTGTTCTGATCACTTCTGCTTTTTGTTCCCCCCAAAAAAACAACAACTCTCCCCGAATGTTAGTCGGAGAAGGCTTCGGCCTTTTTGCGAAGACCCTGGCCGCCGTGCCCGACCGAGAGCCGGTAAGAAGCCCTCCCCTCACCAGTCAGGGAAGAGCCGGGTCCGTAGTGCATTTCACCCTTCCCTACCCCCAGTAAATTCTCTGTTCTGCACCCCTAATAACTATGTTTCCTTTCTCCCGCTGTGCTTTGTGTTACAGCGGGGGGAGGAGGAACAGGCCCGTAACCAGCAGACATGCTTGCTAACTCCAGTGGGAGTTGTAAAATGCAAGTATTGACATTTATAGTTTAACAATAAAACAAAGGAAAAGCACCCCAGTTTCCCCTTGCCTGTTGGAGAGGGGGGACCTGTGGTGGAGAGGAAACACCCCACAATTCCCAATAAGGTTCAGAGCGTGTCGGTGGTAACTTTGCATGCAGAGCATAAGCTCTTGTTTTTGGGTTGATCTCCATCAGGGTTATGCATGTGTTTCTTTGTAATTGAGTGCCATTATTAGTATGTATGGATACATGTTTTTTTATATATATTCTTCCCCACACCTGCTTCCTGTCCCATACAGCCTTTCTTCCCACATGCTACTTGGGAAGTGTGTGTTTTCCCATGCTCTCCCTTCCCCTCCTTTGGTCTCTCTGCATCAAGGAGAAAGCTATGAGTTTTTAGCAAAAGCTAAAATCTTGGATGCGATCCAAAATCAGATTATAAATCTGAGAGAAATGGATATTTACCTCTCTAACTTCCTAGGCCACCAGCCTCCAAAATGGCTTCATAGATTAAGAAGACAACAATATTACAGAAAGAGTAATAGTAGTGCCAAGAAAGCATACAAAATATATTTTCTGTATTATTCACAGGCCAAAGGGGCCTGTTGAACACCCCAACCTGGGAAAAGAGCCAAAGTTTTAGAGTTCACTGGAATGTGGGTCAGGTGAAAGCTGTATGAATTTCTGGGGGATCCTGTTCTAAAGGGTAGGTTCAGTAACTGAAAGTTCATTTCCTGCAAGATAACATCGCTTAATCAGTGAACTCAAAGCAAGCCAAATGTGATTATAGACAACAACTAGATGCTATAAGAGATGGATGGCTCCTCAGGTACGACCTGTGCCATGTGGGGCTTTATGGTAATAACTAGTATCTTGAATTGCACCAGGGAGTTTCAGTCCAGCTAATAAAGCAAAGGGATTTGTTACAGGGGCATAATGTCTGCCCATTGTGGCTTATGTCACTGCAAAGTGGACCAATTATAGTTTCTGATGAATCATTAAGAGCAGCCTATGGTGTAAATTGTAATAGTCTACTCATTAGTCAAGACATGCATAACTGTAAGGAGAGCCTCATGATTCGGACATGGGTACATCCAAACCAAAACGGGTGCAAAGACCTTCCTGTTTACAGTCATTACCTGTTCCTTGAACAGGAATTGCAAGTCCAGGAAGATTCCCATATTGTGCACCAATCCAGAAAGGGACAATGTGATCCCATTCAGAATCAAAGATCTTTGGAACTGGGGAGTCCAAAAATCTACAGCTACTCTTGATGGGATTGAGTTTGACATGTTCCTCTCCCAGAGCTTCCAGATATCAGGACAACCTAGTTTGTTTTGTTGAAATGCACAACTGAATGTCATCCATGTATTTATTGTAGGAGGAGTGTAAGTATTCAGCCCAGTGATACCCCACAAATTGCAGGCTTTGAAAATGCTAACAGGCTTTTCTGATTTTTTAAATATTAAAATATTATATATAACATGATATTTTATATTAAGAAGCAGTACAGCTTGCTCAAACTTCAGGTAATTTCCTTTGGGTTAGATATTAAGATAAATGCCCTAATTCTAAAAATAATTTTACAGAAACACAGCAACTGTACATCTTGGACCCAAGGAAGCCATAGATGTTGCATATGGATCTTCCTAAGATTGTCATCAAATTGTTATTTGTAATGCAGTAGAAAGACATATTGATTACATGGAGAACATTTTTAATGTAATTTCAGTTACATTTACATTAAATCAAATGCTACCAATAATCCCAATTTGACTTTTGCTTCAAGAAATCCTCTGAAGGAGCAAGCATCTGAAAAATTATTAATTAAAGTTTATTTTTAGTGAACCTTATTGTTTACCAACAATAGAAAGATACTTGATTCTTCAGGAGACTTTTTAATATACTCCACAAATTCTTAAATGAATAGTTCAGGTCATACTTTTATTTTGCCCATACAGTTTTAAGAAGTATTTATTGAATTGTCTCTTTGTTTGAGATTTTAAATGAGGTCTTCTATATCTAATTGAAAAATGCTGCATAAGCCATTCCCTTCCACTGTCTATATAGCTTGTAATTTATATATGCTTTACAAATTAGATGCTGACAGTAGATGTTATGTGCACCAAGAAGACCTAACATTTTAAACTGCAGATAATTAAAATGTTGAGACAATTCTGTTCTCTATACTTAGCATTTAAAAAAAATATTTGGAAAAGGAACAATCCCGGCCAAGTGCCATTAAGGGAAAGAAGAATACGATTATGTCATCTGAATAAATGAAAATTACTTTCTAACTAGACAAGTATATTGGTATAATAACATTTTTTAAAACTCTCCTTTTTTCCTCCTGTCTTATGTTCTTACTTTATCTAAAAACAAGTTTCTAGAAAATTGTCTCTGAGAAAATTAGATACTGGAAATTTATGTCCAGATGTATATAATGAAGATACACAATCATGAATACAAGCTCTAAATCATAGCTTGAATTATTTTGGCCAAGCTGTAGATTAATATGTATTTTGCTCCATCCCTGGCTGAACCAGCCCTTCGTCCACTGGATTCTTCTGTGTGGAAAAGGATTAGTAAATTTGCTTGCCAGCTTTTTACTTAATTGATAACTGAATTGTGCATTCTTTCATAAACCTCAGTTTCTATATTGTAGCTGAGAAATTATTTGGGCTCATAATCTTGCTTCTGAAATCGGTCTGTGTGGAAACCAGATTCTCAATATTGTAAAACCTGATACTAAATTCTTTTATTGGGGCTGGACTGGTAAGTTGTAAACTCCCAAAGCATGACAACATCAAATCAGTGGAATTCTCATTCTGAGAAGTATGTGGTCTCATCTGCATCCTTTTAGAATTTTCTGTCTTTGTTGGCAACATTTGGCTGAAGCTGAAATCTCATCTTTGCTCTTCTCCTTCATGCAGACAGTCTTGTTGACTCATCTTAATCCCTTCCAACAAGATCTATTTTTTAAAAACATGCTGATTTTGAGGCCCGGCAGGTAAATAAATGTGGTATTAAATCCAAAGCAGTTCAGTTCAGGTAGGAATCTGGTGGGGAGGGGGCATAAAAGAAGCTACTTTTTGTGTATGAATGTGTGGATGTTTTAGAGCTTGGGGCAGAGGGGTGTGTGGTTGGTGGCCTCAGAGGCTCAAGTTTTGAAGTGTCTGGATTCACTTTTGTTTTGCCCTCGCAGGCCATCGCGGGGTTGAACGGCATGCAATTGGGTGACAAGAAGCTTTTGGTGCAGAGAGCCAGCGTAGGAGCCAAGAATGCTACCCTGGTGAGAAAGGAAAGGGATTGGGATGAGGGAGAAATGATACCAAAGAACAATATTTCCAGTATATATTTGCAGGTTCTGTTCCTGAAAATTAGAAGGTTGGTCTTATTAATACTGTCAAATGCCTGTGGTTGCAGGCATAGGGGAACTACTCATGTCTTGCCTTGCTTAATGAGAGAGAAGCAATTTCAGGCAAATAAGGATCCCAAGCCTTTTAGGTTATTCCGGAAATAAGTGTGCATGAAGTAGAGAAAATTCTTCAAATTTGGAACAGCTGTGACTGTTTCATGTCACCCTTGGCTTGGCAATATCAAAACATCTTTGGTGGCTCTGTGTTTCAGACGAAACAGAATCCAAATGAGATAGACAAGGCCGTGTTGCCTTCTTTCTCTCCTCTAACCAGAATCCAAATAAGATAGACAAGGCTGTGTTGCCTTCTTTCTCTCCTCCTCTACCCAGAAGCACCCAGTGCAGCTGCCCCATTGGCTTGACTGTCCCCATTGTGTTTCTAGCACTTTCACTCCCTCCCTTCAGCTGCTTCCACCAATTTCTGATTGAGTATTCCAGGAAGCTTCATGATATTCTAAAAGACATTTGTTCGGATAGCAAAGGCCCTTTTTAGTTTTTACAAATGTCTCTTTAGTGCACAGACTTTATTTTAATTACTTGAACATTGGAGCTGTAATAATAAAATGTTTGCATCACATTTATTTCTGAATCCAATTCTTATTTTTATATTAAATCTATTTAGCCAGATATGCACATGGGCCCAGAATAATTTGAAACCTAAAATGAAATAGTACCTGCAAAAATAGTGTCTTTATAAAGACATAAGCACTGGCATGATCACCTGATGCATTGAAGCCATAGATTAGAAGAATATGGTGCTGATTTCTGGTGATCTAAACAACCAGTTTCTAAAGTAATAAGTACTAGTACCCAAAGAATTACAATATATCCAAAAGTTATTATATTTTTGAGAATCAGAAATTATTATTCCTGCTTTCCTTATTTCTTCCAGGCATAAGAAACATAAACTATTTCGTTGACAGAGAAGTAACACTTCCCAGTTTCAGATTTTGGGACTTGGTTTTAAAATCATATTAAAAGTAGTTGTTTGGTATGTTTTAGATTGAAGAAACTGATACTTTGAATTCTTCCAGAAAATAAAATCAAAGCTTGTAAAGAAAAAATACAGAATTGTTTGTGTATGTTTGGAAATGACAGTTTAAATGATTGTATCACTGAATTCCTCTGTCTGTGGCTTTCTCCTCTCTTGCTGCCCCTCCAGAGTACAATAAACCAGACCCCAGTGACCCTGCAGGTACCGGGTCTAATGAGTTCCCAGGTACAGATGGGCGGTCATCCAACTGAGGTGCTGTGCCTCATGAATATGGTATTACCTGAGGAGCTCCTGGATGATGAGGAATATGAAGAGATTGTTGAAGATGTCCGTGATGAGTGTAGCAAGTATGGTGTTGTCAAATCCATTGAAATCCCCCGGCCTGTTGATGGAGTTGAGGTGCCTGGCTGTGGAAAGGTACTTAATGGTTGTAGGAGTGGCAGGATGGGGATGGTGTTTTAGAAGGAAATGAAGAAACTATTGCTCGATTAACGTAGAATGCTTCTGTTCTTACTTGGCTCCATGAGCTCTAAGGTATACATGGGACATAGAAGGGCTCAATCAGATGGCTCTGCTCTAAAGTACAAGCCTATCTACTACAGAATGATGAGGCTGAATCATGGGTGTCCAAATTAGGATTTCAAAAGTGTAGCTTAGTGTCCAAGAATAGCTTTAAGCTTTATCTTTTTGCCTTTGCAGAAACTTCTGGTATCTCATCTCTATAAAGTAAATTGAAAAGACAGTGGAGTTTTTGTTAAGTAAGCCGGGGTATCAAAAGTGGTTTTTATTTTGAAAAAGACAACTTGACTGATTTTTTGAGGAAAAACTAGATGTTTTGCTTCCTATCCTGAAAGCTTTATCCATTGTATTGGATCTTCGCAAGCATTTGCATACTGGGTATTCCCTGGTGATCTTACATGCAGTCAGAACCCCGCTTAGTTGTTAAGGATTAGCTAGGTTCTGTCTGTTTTAAATCATCCAGCGTAAAACTGGGTAGCTTTAAGAATAGTAATGTGGTGATCAGTTCATAAAGGCAGCTATCTACAAATTTAGTATGGTAAATAAGTTAGATTAGATGCATGGAGGAAACATTTAATGAGAATCAAATTACAATAAATGTACAGTTGCTTCAGTTTATTTTTCCTAATCACTCTCTTATATGTATGATCTGGGCCAGATTTGAATCCTTTTGTCATTTTTTAAAAAAATGTACCACTAATTATCTTTTCTCTTGTCCTTTCACTCTTGTAGATATTTGTGGAGTTCACATCTGTCTTCGACTGTCAGAAGGCCATGCAAGGCCTCACTGGACGCAAGTTTGCAAACCGGGTCGTTGTGACCAAGTACTGCGATCCTGATTCTTATCACCGCCGAGACTTCTGGTAGCCCAGCCCTTGAACCAGTCTTGAGGGGGTTTTGTGGAAGCAGGGGCAATTCGCTGGCCAGAGAGGCTCCTTTAGCAGCATAGCCTGTTTATATTTTATGGCCAAAATCTGTATTTCTCCCCCCGCCTTTCCATTTATCCCAGTTCCTTCCTTTTCCAAACGACCATCAGTCCACCCACCCATGCCTCCTCTGGTTACCCAATGATGGTTACTCTGTAGTAAAATGTTGTCTCTTATCCATATTTCCCCTCCTCCTTTCTCTGTGATGTTTCAGATTTTTTTGCTAAACGGAGTTTTGCTGTCAAAACAGTGGGTCTGTTTTTGTTGTATTTTCCTTTCTTCTACGCTGTGTGTATGGACAACTATTTCTCTAGTGTTGTCTCTCATAATTAAAAATTTTTTTTTCCAATTCCCTGGTGTCATTGGGGCAACTTCCTCAATTTTAAATCCGATTGTAAACAAAGATAGTTTAATATGCTTTTCAAAGGGAAATTTATCAACAAAGATGCTAACAGTATCAAAACCTATCAGTAAATCTTACATAATAATGGTTATTGGGATCAGGATTTGTCGCTAAATGCAGTAAAATTCAATGTCACATGATTGCCACTTTAGTTCTGGCATTAAGAATAACATAAGGTAATTACCATTTGTAACTTCCTGCTGGATTCCCTATTGACTTTGTCAGAAGCTGGCAGAGAAGATTGCAAATGGCAATCATATTATCATAGGATGTTGCAATGTCATAATTGCAAGCCAGACACCAAGCACCTGGATCATATAAGCACATGATCAAGAGGATATGCTGATGGCTGCAATTATGAGAACCAATTGGAAGTATGTGCAACTTTGGTCCTGAACAAATGATCATTAAAGGAGAATTACCTGTATAAGTGTAACGCTGATTGAATCTTAAGAACAGAAGATAGAAATTACTTTTAAGTATAACAACTTCTGCCAGAAGAATTCTGCACATTGCTTTTGTGATGGAGAAATTGGCAAATCTGTGATTACAGATTTCTCAGATGGTGTTTTTGTGGGACTATGTTTGGGTGCAATAGCTTGTATTCCTTAGATCAATGTAGTGTTGTATTTGTAGAGGGTGTTTCACACAGGCATCAGTTCCATTGGTTTAAAGTGCAGGAGGCTGAGTTTTTTGGTAACCTTAAGCAGAATAAAATGCCAGTACGTGGTACTCTGGATCTATAAACTTTCCAAAAATCTTCATTTTCATTCAACTCCTTTCAACAAAACTATTTTTTCCCCTTAAGAGGTACAGGTGCATACTTAAGATAGTCAATTCATGCTGAGAAGTTTATGTGAGGAATTACTGAATAAGCCTTCCAACATTTCTATGGCAATAATTCACTGCCTAATATAACAATGGTCCATATCAATAACTAGCAATAGAAATAATGAAATTAGCATGATCTCTTACATAATCTGTTCAGATTGCAAGGATTAAAATATACTTGCTGCAGAATTTGTGCTTAGTACTGCATTCTGATTTACTTAGTAACACACCACTATGTAAAGCTTTTCTAAAATGGTTGCCTCAGCTTAAAAAAAAAAAAAAAGCTTAGAGCTTGCTCACAAAACTTAAATAGGATAGTAAATTAAAACTTATAATGCTCAGTTGAGCTTACTAATATGTTGGAATGTGTACAACTGCAGCATGACTCTTGAAAATTCCCAAAAAGGACTGATGGAAAAATTTGCAATTATTCTGCCTCCAAAATACCAAAGCTTACATATGAAGTAAATAGTAACTAATACAACTAATGAAAACCCCAGCTGACCTTTCTCAGAATTTGCAATTTTTTAAAATTAATGAACTTGCCGAATTTAGTCAGCCTGATGAAATGTGTGCTCATATTGATATAGGAAACTTATTTTAAATTCACCTTAATGGGGAATGTCATGTTGCTATGATTATTTCAAAGTGCCTTTACTGAGTTTGGCTTCTCTGGACATAGAAATGGGAAACAGCAAAATAGCTTAATGTTATACTCTAACATCTGGTATTACTATAAGGCAAGCTAATTAGATCTGTTACGGATAAACTTTATATAATCATATAATTTATAATATGTATTACAAGTACATCCACAAATTTTGTGTGTGTGTGTTGTGTGTATACCTACACACACACACACACATATATGGATCTTTGGTTATTCGGGTTTTCTCCCACGTAAGATTGGCAGTATCTAGGCAACGTTTCGATGAAGTCTCATTCATCATCTTCAGGCTTGTGTCTTCGGCTCTGAGAAGCACAGAGCCGAAGA